ACAGATACACAAATAAAAAACATATATATATGTCACAACCCCTGGTATGCCCAAATATGGGAGGAGGCATACTGCTTCCTTTGTCTGTCTATCGGCTCACCCCAGGAGACCATCCAGACAGAAAGCCATTATTTCTAATGTTCACTTTGTTACATTTGTGTTGCATTTGTGTATCTGTATCTGTATCTGTATCTGTATCTGTATCTATATCTATATATCTATATGGTATGGCTAGCTGATGAGAGCTAAATAGCTTGAAATAGATCTATACTAGTCACCCTTCATTTAATTATGAGCAAAAATGCAAAACAAAATGGTTTTTCTGCCTGGAAAGCTCCTGGAGTGAGGCTGAAAAGCAAAAGGGAAGCAGTATGCTCCCTCCCATATTTGGGTATACCAGGAGCTTTAACAAAGCACTTTGTGTGTGTGTGTGTGCGCGCGTGCGCTCACACACACACATACTTCCTGGACTTCATATGTATTGGATCTGATAAATGTTCTATGCTTCATTTGAATCATTGTGGCACTTAAGATTTTTTTTTATGATTTTGGGTTGCATCAAGAATTCAGATTTATAGCTGTGGGATAAAATACGGGATAAAAGGAAAACTCTTCCCCCGCCCTCCAGAATTATTTGGGATTAGGTGTGCTTTCTGTGTGTAGGAAAACTCTCCCCCTGTCAGCTGGGTCCTCCCACATATAACTGCAGCCACGACTGAAGCAGATTCAGACAGTTTCCAGGCCTGAGGCGATGCATGCTGTCCTTGTGAGTCAAACAATCCTCTGCTGTCATCTAAGGGAACTTGGAGAATGTCCAATCTCTAAGGGAAAATGAAAGATAGCCTGGATATAAAGAGATCAGGGGGGAAATAGTTCTCTCAAAAGGGTTTGCAAGCAGGGAGGTGGCATTTAATATTTTTCTCAGATGGAAAAATCTAAAATGGACAAATAATGATTAGTTGTGTGGCCAAAGCTAAGAGCACACTAGATTACATGTCTTCTGGGAGTTGACACATGAACTCCTTAGAGCTCTTGTCTTCTAGATATTCTGGCCCAGCACGTTTTCCTCTGTTGGAGGTCTTTCTATCATGTCTCTACATTTTCGTACCCTCTCAACACAAACACACACACACATACACACACACACACACACACACACAGAGTGATGCTGGTAACTTATTTATATTTTGTGATATTGGCACCAAGGCCATAAAACTAGTGGAATCCTATGAGGATAGCCATGTATTTTGGTTAGGATAGATTCTAAAATGCAGGTTGGGAAATTTTTAATGACATTTCATCCAACAAACTTCGGAAAGTTTTCAGTGTCACTGAGTACAGAGTATCCCAGAAATTTAGAGGTCTATAATCCCCTCAAACATTCTGATTAGGCTTCTAAATGTGATTTAAATGCTTGCTAAAATTCTTTGACTATAATATATATTTAATGGATGCCATGTTTTGGAGTTCATAGGTTTATGGATGAGAAAGTCAAAGGGACACTAGTATGTTTTTAAAGGAAGACTGAACATTTTCATTACAACACGGAATAAATTAAAGTTTGTATTTTTAATCTTATTTTTTTAACTTAGGGTCGTGTTTCATTAACATCTGAGAAAGAAGAGTTTGCTCATCAGCATGAGGAGATGAAAAATTTAGAAGACATTGTTAACAAAATAAAACCAAGTGTTCTTATAGGTAAAAAGCAATCTGTATATCACTTCATCAATGTTTGAAGTTTAATTTGATATTTATGTCTCTCTATGTGCATTCATATGCACACATACATATGTTTGCACATGTATATGTGTACCCAGATACTGGATATGCATACATTTTAGAGCAATTGGTAAAATTTTTGTCATCTTTATGCATAAGAACAAATACAGTAATTCTCACAGTTTTGGAAAGTAGGTAAGGTTAAAGAGATTTTTGAATTATACTGTAAGTGATATGCGAATAACAAATGACCTCAAATGTAATTTACATGTAATAGCTTCTCGGGCAAGCTTTACAGTGGCCTAGAGGTGAAGATGCTCCTGCCTCACACTCAGGAGACTGAGAGTTCAATCCTACGCTGCGACAGATGTTTCTCTATCTGCTGTGAACTCCGCATAGGCATCAGGAAGGGCATCTGGCCCATAGATGCTCAGTTCCATTCAGTTGTCTTTACTCCATGATGATAAAAGGGATTCATAAAAAAAGAGGGTGGGGAAAGCTGCTTGGGCAAGGTCTGTTCTGTGATTTTGCTCCTTGAGTCAAATTAGAAAAGTCTCTCTAGTCCTTTTCTCTTTTTAAAATTGTGTGCAAATAGACTAAAACATGCAATTTTTTGTAGACCTATTTCTATAGTGAAAGATCAGATATAGTATTTGTATCCCATGCTATGTAATGCTCAGTGTTGAATATGAAAAGGATATATTTCTTTGGATGTTGTATTAACCTAACAGTGCTCCATAAGCAAGAAAAAATGATCAAATATCATATGATTAATGGTCTAAAATCTTTGCTTGAAGAATCGGGAATAAATAAGTTATCTCATGTTTCCCCAGGTTTTTCATTAATTTTAATCTCAGCGACAGCCATGTATGGTATATTACTAGATACTGCTCAGGAAAAAGACTTGTTATTGTTGGAACAAGAACAAACATTATTTTAACAAATCTAGCCATAAAGCATCTGTGAGATTATTTTCTAATTTATTTTGCTATGATTAGGAATGATTGTCATTGTACCGTTTGCTTTTTAAAAACAAAAATCACATTAAGTAGTAAAAAAAAATAAGACAATAACTTTTGGTAAGATCAGTTTAAAATTATGGGGAGCTTTGAACTTCATTTTCTGTAAGAGTTCTAAGTTGTCAGAGCAAGGAGGAAAAAAGAATAAAACAAGATTATATGTTCAAGCTGGTGATACTTTAGCTAAGGCTACAAAACTCTTTGGGTCTGTAGCATTTGTTTATTAAATTTATTGCACCTTTATTTAATTTTTATCAAAGGCAATGTCCTGATGTGAACTTTTTAAAAATGTTATTATTATTTTTTCATTTTGTTTGAGCATTGATACAGTTATTCAATTAAGATTTTATGCAAAAAAACCAAAATGCTGATAAAATATGTTTGGCCTCCTACATATATGTTCATCCATCTGAATCTCTCTTCCTTTTATCTTTTCTTTTTCATTATCTTAGGATAGATATATGCAAATATTTCATGAATGATTTAAGAAACCTTAAAACACATTGTTTTGAAAAATGAAGTCCTAATTTCAGAACACCTTATTATTATTTTATAACAACGAACCAGATATCATAGTCAACAACACATTAACAACACATTTAATAATTGGACTCATGAGGCAACTTCAACAGATAAGAGTAAAGGGATTATTCTTAGAGTAAGAGTTTGGAAAATTGTTCAGCTGAAAGTTGTCATTTGCTTCTTCTCTGAATCATGTTTCTTATATAAAGATATTCAAATATATATTTATAAAGCAAATTGGCACTCAATCCAGACAAGATCGAGTGGCTATTGATGTTTCCTCCCGGGGATAGTCCAGATTCTCCATCTATTAGCCTGGGGGGTGAAAGTCTACACCCCTCAGAGAGGGCCCGCAACTTGGGTGTCCTCCTGGATCCGCAGCTGACATTAGAACACTATTGTATTGTGACCAGGGGGGCTTTTCCCCAGGTTTGCCTGGTGCACCAGTTGCGGCCCTATCTGGACCAGGAGGCACTTTGAATGGTCACTCATGCCCTCGTCACCTCAAGGCTCGATTAGTGCTACACACACTACATGGGGCTGCCCTTAAAGAGTGTTCGGAGTGTTGATCCAGAATGCAGCCGCACGAGCGATATCGGGTGTACCTCAATACACCCATG